CAATGAAGCAGAAAACTCAATATGAAGCTCTGTAAAGATTCAGACTAGTAACTCTTTTGGCAGCGTTTCATCACTATTAAACGATTATTTTCACATTGATCATTATCAATGTTTCTTGCTTAATTATATCGATTGTAGCCTTTAAAATTTAATTATTACTTTGGTCTAGAGTTGGGTGGTTGTAAATGCTTTGTTTTGTTTGTTTGTTTTTATAAGAAATAAGCATTTAACTATATAGTAGGAGTCACTTTATGACCCATTATGTTCTACTGGGATGTAGGTCTTGAAGTGGATGAACATAATTACTGCTGCAGTAAAAGTTTGTGGCCATTAGGCTCAAAATTTTTTGTCTCCATGACTGATTGAAACCATAAAAAAAATCAGTCATTAGCAAATGGAAGAACAATATTTCTCAGGTTTCACTGATTGGTTTGGTCCACTGGTCATTTGAGCACAATTATTACACGGTTTTCACTTGAATCCTCTGTTTTAGTCCAACTTGAATTACTATTATTTAGAGGTTTATTTATTTGCAAAAAAGGAAAAATTTACAAAAAAAACGAAAAATTACTTTTATTTTTTTGATGCACTCAGCTTGGTTATACTGTAGGCAACGTAGCTCTTTATACAGAATGCTGGAGCCTTTTCTTGAAATTGGGTTTCGTTGTTGCTCACATTTAATATTCACAGGGTTTGACAGGGGTGTTTTTAGGGGAATTTGGAGGTGGGGAAATGGAATTCCTTCTTCAGAATCAAATGCGTTTATTTTTTTGTACCTTATTTAGTACAATATCTTTTTTTTATTTGGATTCTAATTTTTGTGTTAAATGTTACCTTGGAAAGAATACAGCTCCATTTTACGTGTTGAGTTGAAAAACTGTTTTTCCCTGTACAAATGAAATTCTTTCCTTTGTTTTTCCTTCATCCACTTTCTGGGAATGCTTTGGTTTAAAGCATTAAAGTACCCAAAAGCAGGGAAAATTAAGCATTAAAATAAAAGAAAATTAAGTAAGGTATCTAAGAACAATTATGTACATATAACCAGTTTATTAAAAGTGTAGCAATTATCAGAATATTGATTACTAACAGTAACAGGAAACTGAATGAATGATGAAATTGGAAGGAGTGAATGATTGGGTTTTGATCTTTTGATACGATTTTCATTTTATTTTAATTAAGGTCACTTTTGAAAGTTCTGACCTCTCTTTGGTTTTTGCTTTTGGAGGAAGTTTGTGATTTCGGTTCTTTTTTTACTTCGGTGTTTAAAAGTTGTCATGTTATCTTAATTAAATTGGCAATTTGAAAATTATTTTATTACAATTAATTTTTTGTTATATATTTTTATACTGTATAAATGGCTTAACAACACTTTGATTCAGCACTTAAAATGGAATTGATATATTAAAAGGTCACATGGTTTACGTGGGACCTGACCTGGTGGTCTATTACTGTTTATGGAGCCCCTCGATTCATTTAGGACTTTTCCCCCCTGCTTGGTCAAAATAAGACCTGTTTTTGGCCATTTTTTGAGGTGGGGGGACAAAGGTTTTAGTTTCCAGAGCTTTTACCAACAACTTTTGGTTTGTGGCTGAGAGGCTTTAAAAATCCAGTTTACAGCAACATTTTTATTAAAATGTTCTCACCACATGTGGAAAAATCTTGATTTATAAGAAATCTGATACCACTGGAAGAAGGATCTTACCTTATTATTTATTGTTCAGAGAGATTTTTAGGGACTTAGTTTCTCTCAAAACCAAATACTAATGTTTGGTGTCTCTGATCTTTACCAGTTTCTGAAACACTGAAACACTCACAGACAGTGAAAGTCTGTGAAGTTTCAGTAGCACACACCACATCCATTCGACGTCGTATACAGGTACGCACTGATAGGAAATATTAAAAGCGTGTGCGTGTATGTCGTAAAACCAGGCTTGTGTAAGAAAGGAATCATGGATCTACAATGTTGGTCTGACTAGCACTGGTGGGTGGCTGGACTTGAATGGACCTGAGTGTCATGGATGGGAGTTTCGGTTATTAAGATGGTGCTTTTTAACTTTCTTGGGAATTTGGAATTTGAAGGCTTTAGTGTGGTGGTCATATGTACACAGTACAAGAGATTTTTGGAGGAGAGCAGGCTGCAGCTCCGTAAAAGTGCACACATAATTATCACATACATAATACCATACAATTGAATATATATTGGATGGGTGAAGGTGCTTGCCAGTGACATACAGCCTGTAATACACACACATATCTCTAAACTAGACATTTGGCAGTGTTGAGAGCAGCAGTTCTCACTAGCGGCTTTCATATCTGAAGCCGGCTGATTGAGACTAATGAATACAACATGGACCGTAGAAATGGCTTCCATATGCAGGAGACAAATGTGTGTGTGGAGAGAGCTGGTACTAGATATAGAAAGGTAAAATTGGAGTATGAGTATATTTGTGTGTGTGTGTGTGTGTGTGTGTGTGTGTGTGTGTGTGTGGCATACAGGTATGTGTGTGGTGTTTGTGTACCACTGTCTAACAGAACGGAAGACTAGGAAGCACTTCCCGTTCCTTCAGGACCTGTTTACGTCTCTCATAAAAGGCAAACACAAATCCACAAATGCTTAAAACACTGTTCCTCTTCATCAAGGTTAGAGCATCTTACATAACTCACCTCAGACTTTGATATACTTTGTTCTGTAAAAATAAATAAAGAGTGTTCCTTCAGACAGGTTAAGGGTGCTTGGAACTCCTTCAGGTTTGTGATATTGTAGAGTAATCTTGTTTAGTTACACAAAACAATGGTTCTGGGTTCACTGTTTCAACATACAACATTACAAACATTATAAAAACATTACAAACATTGTTAGGAAAGACAAAATAAATTCCAATGTGTACAATGTGTGCCAGTAAGTTAGTTATTTACTAAATCTGCAGTTTATTTACTAAGTCCTTAGTTGTTTATTTTTGGGGGTGGGGGTTGCAAATGAATATGATGTTAATTAAAATGTGGTACCAAACAGCAGCAGAAAGAGAGCTTGACAATAGTTTTAAGAAATGTTTGCCAGTTTATCAACCAGCCATCTGTTCTTGTTTGCCAAACCCGAATTGTTGCCAGATTGACATCCATAATCAATTAATTGTAAACATTAACATAATTTGCCTAAGTATATGTCTAAGTCTCTGTCCCTGTATGTGTTACAGACACATGACACACACAGCACGCAAACAGTGACAAGAGTTTTTGTTTGTTTGTTTATTATTTAATTTTATTTATATTTAGTATTTTTTGGGGGCTTTTATTGCCTTTATTAAAGTGACAGCTGAAGACAGACAGGAAAGGGGGGCAGAGAGAGGGGATGACACGCAGCAGGGCCGCAGGTCGGATTCGAACCCTGGGCCGCTGCATGGGTCGCCAGCTCTACCCACTGAGCTAACCGGGCACCCGACAGACAGTTTTTAATGGAATTCACTAAAAACATGTGGCAAGATATCTTTAGCTTTTACTAAGCCATACATGGCTCACTGGTAGTCATTGTTACAGTAAGTGAACAAAATATGTAGCTGTCATCACACGTCATTAAAACACTCCTTTTTATGGTTAATTTTCAAACTGTATTTAGTACTTTGAAGTAGGTGTGGGAAATATGTAAAAAATTATAGCAAAGATTATCACAAAATATCTTCTATTTGTATGTTATACTCATGCTAATCTCATGGAACAAAATGATTAATAATAAATCAGTCCTTTGAAAAATGTCCATCTCATCTCCATAATTCAAACTGATGTCATTAGATGTCTTATTTTAACTGAACAGTACAAACCCAAAAAGAAGCTGGGAGCAGATAGTTTTTGATTCAATACTTGAATCTATTCTTTAAAGTTTAGTACTGAGTAAAATGCATGTAATGGCATTTCAGCTTTATTTCAAAAAGTCTATTTGTTTTTGCCTTTTCATTTGGCACTTAGCAAGACAAAAACAGTATCAGAACCAGATAACTGTATTCTATCAGCTCAGTACTGCTAGAAATCTGCTCACTTTTTTATTCAACTCTCTGAAGCTGAGATTCCTTTACATAGACAATATACATGTTAAGCCATAAAAAGTGTATAGAGTTATGCAAAGTGTGTAAAATAATTTATTTGTAAGAGTGGAGAGGGAATGTGAACTGGAGACTAAGAGTTCGAGAGGCAGGCGACAGGAAAAAGAGGACAGATAGAGAAGTGAGCGAGAGTGGATAAAGTAAATAAACATAGCCGGGAAGTGTTGAGTCCACGCACAGGACGTGGTTTGGTTTGTGTGTGTGTGTGTGTGTGTGTGTGTGTGTTTATCAAACCCAGCTGGCTCCCATTTGCCCAGGAATGAGTCTGCACCTCTCAGAGGCCCAATCCTGCCCTGCTTTGAAGGCCTCTGTGTAGCGTGTATGTATGTATGGATGAGTGTGTGTGCATCATAACAGCTTCATTAGAGCACTGCATGGTACCGGTGAACACATAAAACACCCAGACGTATTTACTGTATGTATATTATGTGTACATCCTCTTATTTGGTCATTTTAAACACACACACATCCATGCTCAAACACAAACAGCCATCCCAGCACACACATAGACCCACACAGATTTCAGGTTTCACAAGCATGCACATAGACCCCTAAACAGTCCCAAGGGGTTGGATTTAACTGCTTCCAGATGCAAGTTCAGGACAGAGCACACACCAACGCATACAGACCAAATCTTCTGCTTTGTTGAAGTCAGCAGAACTACTCTGTTTAAATTAATTAAGTGCTAGTGGATGGGAAATGAAATGGGAGTAGACAAGTTTACTACAAGTGGGAAAACAGCTTGTTGCTGATACCTGATAATATCCACATGTAAAAATAGCTATTCATACAGGAAATAAAAGCTCAAAACCTTCAAATAAATTAACTTAACAAAAAGCAGAACTTTGTGGTGATACATAAAATTGTTTGAATGTTTTTTAATTGTGTATTTCTGTTGTTTTTTAGATGTGGCCCACACCTATACTGAGCCCCTCATATTGAGGGTAAATGGCACCCCAGAAAGGTTGCATGGCGATGATGGAGAAAAGTGGAACAGGAGCCTCTCACATACAGAGCTCACAACACCCAGCAAGAGTATCACATGTGAGTAAATAGCACCCTCACGCACATTCACACTCTCAGAGAGACTGGTGAGAGTTTTATTTCCATTACCGATCACTGGTCTGATGAGTCACATTGTCCTGACCTTTAACAAATACATTTTACACACCCTGAAGAAATAGGTCAGGTAATCATACACACAGACAGAAATATCTACATTGTCAGCTAAGTAGGTTAAGTTTCTGATTTCTGAAGACAAGCAAGGCTGCACCCAAAACTCCACACTTTAAATGAAACACCTTTCCTCCTCTTTTCCACTTTCGTTTTTCTACTTCTCTGCATTTTATTCTCTCTTGTCTGTTGAGACTGGAATTGTTAGGGTATTACCATGACAACGCTAGGTGAGGGTGACTGGCACTGTGAAATGTACTTCCATTTCCCAGTCTCCTTTAATTATTTAGGGTTCATTGGGCATCTTGGTATCGGTCTAATCAAAATAAATACCCCAAAATTGAAAAATAGAGAGCCGAAATCCTGTCCAGGCTAGCTGGTTCCACCACTGTAGATTCTGTAACTTAATACACTCTCTCATTGAATACATTGAATATCTCTCTTTCTGGAGATGTCAAATGTGTTTCTGGGATTTATTATCCATAATTTAAGATAGTAGTATCTACTACAGCACTTGCTTTTAAAATTGTTTGTCTTTTATGTTGTTTACAATGTTAAACAATGATTAATTTATATGCTTTCATAAATACTACAGCCCATCAGTTTTTCCAGTGATATCGACTAGGCCTGTGTATTGGCAAGAATCTGGTGATACAATATATATCACGATACAGGGATTATGATTCAATATATTGGGATGTATATTAAAATACTGTTAGAAAGGAGATATATTGCAATTTAAAAAAAAATAATTTGAGGAAATCTCTCATAGTATAAAGAACACACCACCATATGCATAAAATCTTGAGTAAAAAATAAAAGCAATGCAACGAGCAGTGGGATCTGCAACATCATAGCCCTCACTTTACGTTTACAACTCTGCTATCTAGCTGTTGGGGGATTTAAGCACAAAAAATTGATTTATTTTTAAATTGACACAATATCACAAAACAACATTTTGCAATACGATATTTTTCAATATTTTTTTACCCTACTATCCATCCACGTTCATGTCACTAATATCATCTTTCTAATGTTTTAGCTGTAATCTCTGCTCTTTAAAAAATGTCTATGCTGGCATCCTGGTGGCCAAAGGATTGAAGATGGCAACCAAGTTATCACAACATCCCTGGTTCAAGTCCAGTTGGATACCATTGTTAGGCCAAATGTCTTCCGTCCCTCTCACTCCTCATTTCCTCACCAAATGTCAATGTGATATTCAATGAGGTGTTCTCACTTCTGTAAAAGAACCCACCTCTATTCTGGGATCTGTGTGTTTTTGACTAATTCGACTGAATAACGTTTCTCATTGCAGTAACATAAAATAGCTACTGTACTTGGCAGTTTTACTGATTGCAGAAAATTGCAGGAGGAGAGCTGTGTGCTTTATTTACACTCAGCTCTCCAAGTCTAAACTACTTCCCAAAATCTCCAGCTGTCCAATCATGACACTCCCCTCTGGGTGTATCAGCACCTCTCCACCTCAATTTGCTGGCGAGGAGTCTCCCAATACCTGGAAGTTCTCCTTCCAGAGTCATATCACTAACCACCACCACCTATCTCCCTCCCCATATTACAATTATTACGGTCATGTCTTGGCCAATGAAAGACTCTCTTTCACTCCCCTTGATGTGCAGTCGCTCCAACACTCTTTAGCAAAGCCAAAGGTTACGCAAGTATGCTATGTCATTACCCCACCGCACATATTTTTCTTGCTTTCACTCCATCCATTCACTACATTTGAAATAAGTAGAATCTCAACCTATTTCTTAAACTAGTTCTCCTATGCCATTTATTCAATTAGAAGACAGAGCTTCGCAATAATAACACCAACCAAAGTCTTGCTTTTCTCTGTGCTTTGCCACTAACTTGAAAGCACTGTAAAACTTTTAAATGCCCTATAGTAGTCTAAATCTGTCCTTCCTGTAATTTAAAGAAAAGGGGGGTGGCATAAGTGAATGAGGGGATGAAGGAGGAATTGAGTGGTGAGACAAAGACAGTTGAACAAGTTGACATCTGAGCATGTGTTAGAAAGCTATGAGCATTTTTCCTGGAATCCAGGGCCAGCCATGGGTGACATGGACAAACACACAAACCTGCCCTGTCGTAATAGCTAGTTTGCGGTAACTGAATAACCAGCAGCCAGTTCAGTCAGGAAATGGATAAGTAGGTGAATGCAGTGGGGTTTTTTTGTTTTGTTGTTTTGCTCAAGATTTTTTGGGGGGTATTTAGAGTCATACAAAATGCAACAAATCACAGGTACAGTTAGATTAGAAAAATTGTAAATAAGACACAGAAAAGGAAACAATAATAGCACAGGTAAAAGTACAATAAATGATAAAGAAAAGCTATAATAATAAAAAGTAATAAGTGAGTAGTAGTTTCAGTGAAAAAAATCGACTGAATTGTGTTCAGATCTTAAAGGAATGTTTCACAATTAGATTTGAAGTATACATATATATAAGTTTCTTTTAGGGGGAGTTTTGAGCCGAGCAGGGCATATAAGGAAGTGGGGCCACAGGATAAGTTCTCCAAATGTAACCATTTGGGAGCTGTGTCACGGGATGGAGACTCCTTCCAATATAACATACTCCTTGGGTTAGCAGCCCAGTAATAAAATCGGAAATGAATGCAATGTGTTTTGAGTTCAATAAGTGAATGAATGTCTGCTGTCTCTGTCTATGTTTGGGCCTCTACCTGTCCTGTCTGCTGCATGTGTCTATTTCAGACCGAGACTGGAAGGCTGAGAGAGGTTAGGGATTGATTTTCTTTCTGCCACTCTCTCTCTCTCTCTGTCTCTCCTCTCGTCTTTATTTTACATCCCAATAAAAAGCTATGAAACCCACCAGCTCCATATGCTTTGCAATGAGGGTTATGCAACTACAGTGGGATTGGACAAAATGTACCACATGCACACCAGTCCTCACTGGCTTTCAATTTGCCTTCATGTGCCTCCTCCCTTCATCCATAACTTCCTCCCTCTGCAACTTACACAATCACACATGTGTTCACGGGACTTGAACCGCAACCTAAACAGTGCTAAACTATCCCTTTCTCAGGTGAACACAGACGGCTTGTCTACATAATGATATGTTTGTCTCTGCCTTTTTCCCCGCGTGAGTTGGTTTGTGTATCTTTTGCGAGCCTCATAAGCCGCTATCAGGCCTGAATGCAGTTTCAATATGGTCTGTGTCATCTGCTATCAATCAATCATCATGTGTTTCTCTGGCTTCATAATGACTGTGAAGACATAACAAAATAGCTGTGACTCAGGTCTGTGGTGAGGTCATGGATGTTTGACATCTGTGAATGTGCATGTGTTTGTGAGCGAGATGGTGAGAAAACAGAAGCAGAGACAGACAATTCCTCCGTCTCGCAGTGATGACATCAGAGCTGTAGTATGTGTCTGGCCCTGGGCCTATGACAAGCTCTCTGAGAACAATGTGCAGAGCGAGCTGTTAACATATGCGAGTGTGTGTGTTGTGCTCTGACACACACACACACACACAGCCAAACTCCCTGTCAGTGATGTCATGAACACACTGCTGTCTTTGACGTCACAGTCACAGCAGGATACACATGTTCACAGATGTTTAACTACTTGCAATCCTTTAGACTCACAAGGAAACAATGACACATGTAATTAATCACTGACAGCATCACAGTAGCATTTATGACACTTGTTTATTTTTATCAGTTTGAACTATTTTCAGTAGATGAGCTGAACATGACAAACACAGAAAGCAGCCCTTTTTATGCATGTGCAAACGAGAGCACGGAAGTGTGTGTAAGGGAAATGCTGAGTGAAGCTGTTTGTTATTATCTTGTCATCAAAGGGGAGGAGTGTGCAGTGTGTTGTTGGTGGGACATCTAACAGGACTGTGACATTGCCTTTAATTAGAGGACCAGTCGCTGTGCTCACACTGTTTTCCATCTCTGTCCCTCTGTCTTATTAGTCTTTCCTGTTCCTCTGATGGTTTTCCTCTAAATTTACTCTCTCTTTGTTGGTTACGTTTGAGCACATACACACATATTATACATTTACTGTCAGTTAGATAACGGTGATAAAGAGCTGATGGTTGGAAAATCCAGCTGTTTGGGTGGTGATGTCACAGGGGTCATGTCAGAGGTCATGTGTGATTGAGGTGGTTGGTCTCAGGTCAGTGATTAGTGTTGCTGTGTCTCATGTTGTTCTTGCAAATCCACTGTCTTAAAAATATAAAAAAAATATAGCCCTAGTCCTCTTCTTGAAATACATTTGCACACTGTTTCCATTCATTTGTCAGGTGAAATTCAAAAATTAGTCAAATGTTGCAAAAGAATAATAAGTGAATCTAAGTGATTTTCCAACAGATGGGTTTAAGGGAATAAAAAGAGTGTCTGAATGTCAAAAAAAAAAAACACAAGAAAAATGGAATGGGGTTTTTCCAGAACTTTTGGGAATTGGACAAGTTGTTGTTGTTCTTTTGCGTCATCTAATGTTATAACACAAAAACAAAGAAATGTGCTTGGAAAATTACAAAACAAAGTACAAAAGACTAATTCCCATGCACAGCTGTGTTTTTCCTGGTATAGAAAACGCTCTTCTGTAAACAAGTTTAACCACAAACTCATCAGTCAACTTGCAATCAGTTGACCCTTTGAGTGCTGAGATAGTTTGATCATATTTAGGCTATTGTATGTAACTGCTTTTTAGATGATAGAGAATATGTCAATAATTTGTATTTTATTTAATCTGTATTTACAGACTTCAGTACCTTTCATTATTATTCATAATCCATCAACGTGAACAGTTTTTTCCACACTAGAATAACATCAACCATACTTATAATTAAATAACTTAATAGTTTTGCTATTTTACAAAATATATATCTGAAACAACAGAAATCCATTCTTCACTTTTCTAGTTAGGCCATGAACAAACTGACAGCTAGACGCAGTGATATATAAGTGTATAAGTGTGTGAGCAAAGCTACGGTTTAATAAAGGATCAAACTGTCTTTTATAGTAACTAAAACTGCTAAGAATTTTAACAAAGGTACTTAGGTGGGATATTATACATTATACACTATGTGTTTGTGTTAAAATTGCTAAGACTGTATACAAATGCTCTTTTATTCAATATAACAAGAATTAACCTTTAATTTTAGCCAAAGTTGAGTCACAGTCTTGCAGTCACATCTAATTTTGAAGCAGTCTTTTGCATCTAACTAATTTCACATGTATTCACATGAGTTTTTCACTCTAGTGAGTGGGTGCAGCTAAACAAGCCTCATTAACACTGTAGTGTTGGGTTGGAGTGCTGTATAGCAGCCAGAAATGTGGGGAAAAGTGTCATTGAAAAGTGTTTTAAATAACATTTTATGGCACCAACTTATCATTTTCCCATTCTCACAGTTTTAGTAGTTGACACTTAGGCTTTGGCCCACAGTTAAAAACAACGCAACTATGCAAGAAACACCCAGAAGGGAGTCAGTGGGTGAAATGTTTCTAGGAGACAGGGGTGAATGGATGTTTTTACAGGCACTTTAAAATGGTTAGTGGATTTTTAAATGTTGCAAATATTGTGAAACTGAACTTTTTTGTGCCAAACATCATTCATTAATCATTCATCATTAAAGGCATTTGTCTTTATTGCCAAAAAGGTACACTGCAAGCAATCAATATTTGCAGTTTTGGTTTCAGCATTTATTATTCAGTGTTCAGAGTGAGCAGATTGTTTGGATACTTTGGTTGATAATGCATAATGCATAATTAAGTTGCATTTGGGAATGCAAATTTTACCTTTAGTCTCATGTCTATAGTACCATTTCAACACTTCATAGACAGACAAACTGCACCAGAGGAGACGCTCGGATAAAGCAGCTGGAACAGAGACAGACAGACTTCATCGTCATGCTAGTGACTCATTCCAGCAGAGGATAAGTAGAGAGAGAGAGATGAAAAGCAGTTCTCTGGTCTGGGAGGGAGGTGTGTAAGTACAGGATAGCTGAGAGACGCCAGGAGAGGAGGTAGAGGTCGAGGGTGTGTGAATGGGTGAATGGTGGGGGGGTATGTACTACTGCATTCAACTGAGGGTGACTCACTTCTGCTCGTAAATTGGCCGAACACCTCTGCGCAGACATACATGTACATACACACATCTTACCAGAGGTCGCAGTACCCCCAGTGGCCAACACTGTGGTGTTAAGCGCCACACACGTGCACTGTGCGGTTTCCCAGTCTCATCATGTTAATCCCACAGTCATTTGGCTTTTTATTTGCTGTTATTTTTAACTGGCTCCCACTGCTGAATCATTGTGTTTTAGAGTCACACCCATGCATCCTTTTGGTCCAAATATGCACAAGCAGCAAACCATTTGTTCAATTTTGTTACTCACTCCATCTTCTCCCTTACTTTCTTGATCTCAGACAAAGGGACCTTGTGTCTATGTGTGTGTGTGTGTGTCCACACGTGTTCCTACATGCATAAATTTGTGTGTCTTAGTGGGCCTAACCTCAAGCTTTGTTTGGAGACAGTCCTGACTCCCCGTTTCTCTCTGTCTCTGTCTGTCTGCCAGATCCATCTATGTACTGTGTTCATACACTCACTCACTCACACACACAAATTCACAAGAAGTATGAATTTCTCAACAACTCACAATCCCCCGGACAATACAGACCTAGAGGGAATACTGAAAAATTGTGCACAGCTTTCCTCCCCTCCCCTCTCTTTAATCCCCTTATTCTCTTACCGACCTACATCCTGGCCAGCTTAGAGTGTTAAAATACAGTATTGTGCAAAAGGCTAAAAGGGAGCAATAAGAAAGCGAGACAGAAAGGGGGAACAGAGAAAGGGAGGAGATGAAGTGAGGAGAGAAAAAGAGGAAGAGAGAGAGACAGGAGAGCAGCAGGTATTGACTTTTGACATACTTTAGATGAAAAAAATATGACTCCTTCTCACTAGCTGTGCACATGCATGCACGCCTACACACTCATGCACACACACACACACACACTGGCCCTGCAGCCTGCCAAACATCTGGAGCAAAGTTAGAAAACGCTGAATGAAAGGATCTTTAATAACACTGGATTGGTTGTGTGACCACAGCCATCAGCCAATCAAAACAGGCCTGGATGGGTTATCTGTCTCAGAGCGGTTATCGAACGGACGCTTTTATTGCTAGTCGTGTTTCATAGCTAGAGCTCAGGACCACACTTTGTTTGTCTCTCACTGCAACTCTGTGTGTGTGTGTGAGTATATGAGAAAGTTTCTGCTTTGATTTTCTGTGGGTCTGCTGTACTCTACCCTGCCCTGTTAATTCTCACCATGCTTCTCAACACCATATGCTTTCAGGTCAAGAAAATATTTAGGGCCTCAATAGGATGGTATTAAATACTACCATAATATATAAAAACCAGGCTTCCATTTTATTCTTCTTTTCAGGGTGTGTGTTTGGTTTGGCAGCGAAAGTGAAGGCCTCCCTTGCTCTAGCTGAGTAGTTTGTACTTGGTAGCACTTGGAGGTAAAATATACCAAGTGCTATGTTGAGCCAAGCTGAACAAATGTGCATGCACTATGTTGTATCAAAACTGCGTTCTTCCAAAAACTCAGGTACTGAAAAGATGTGTTTTTCCAGAGACAAACACTCCTTTCTTCCCTTCTCACACTTATCCTGTCTTTTTTCCCCTTGCAATCTCTTTATAGTTGTGTAAGAGTCTAGACAAGTAGGATCAGGGGTCACTTCAGCAAATACATAGCTCTTCCCATTAGCTGTTGCCTTTGGTCTGGGCTTTGTAATTGGACTCTGTTTCCCAGATCCTCCCTCTCCATGATGCTGCATCAGCACAAATCTCCACACACACACACACACACACACACACACACACACACACTGAGAGGGGCCTTGGCCCTGCCTCAGAGCTGTACAGTGATCAGCTGCATTGTGCACACATGTTGGCAAGCCTGCTCACACAGACAGATGCTATATACATATTTCAATCCCATTCATATGTTTTATGTAAAAATTATAAGTTCACGTTGCCTATATGTAGACTGATAGCACTACTTATTTTTCCTGTCCGTACTGGCCCTTCTTAAATCCAAAGCAAACATGATAAGACTTCAGAAATCTGAGTGAAACAAATCAAGCTATCAAGATATTGTGCAAAATTCTAACTTTTTGTTACTGTCTCTACACTGCAGCTCAGCAAGGAAACACAGAGGGGTGGTAAGAAACACTAACTGGAAGATACATATTTCATTTTGATTTACTATTAGCTTCAGCTGAAATCTCTTACATTAAAACTGCTTTTGGGATCTTTTTGGGGCCATTATGGACAGGAGGGACAATTAAAGCAAGGAACACTGCTTTCATATGGACATTAAAAAATGTCATTTATTTAGCAAAAATGTCATTTCCTATCTACAGATTCTAAAATGTGAGGATTTGCTGCTTGTCTCTATTTTATATTGTATATTGACAATCTTTGGGCTGTGGATTGTGGATCAAAAGCATTTATTGTGTAAAATAATCAATAGATTGACTGGCAATGAGAAGTTTCAGTCAAAAAGTTAATGCTAGAATACTGTGTCAGTCACCTACAATATTCATGTGGTCCTCATAATCGGGATAGGATCGAAAAAGAAACAGTTGTACAATATAAATTGTATTTATATTATGTAAACACAATAACAGGCACACCTAACAGCAACAACACTGATCTGATCTGAACTGAATTGATTGATTTATTTAAGAAAAAATGTTTTTTTTGTCCATAGCCTATTGTAAATGAATGTACTTTTGCCCCTCCCCAGCTCAGCCAGCAGCCAGATCCACGCCCACCCACCACACCCAGCCATGTCGGACACAGCCCAGCAGCCAACTGCGCAATGGAGCCAAGCACCACGCACACACGCACTCCCCTCACACACACTGTCCGCATCACACGCACACGCCTCACACACATGCCCTCCAGTCCAACGGGGTCAGGAACGGGGGCTCTCATGAGCACCCTAAGCTGGGGTCCCTCCCGAGAGGCGGATCTTCCACCTCCTCGTCCTCTTCAGCAGGACCTAAACACACCAAGAAATTGCAGTCCAACCCCTCCATCACCTCCCAAAGCAGCAAGAGAAGCAAGAGCAGCTCCAAGAGCAACAGCTCCCAGATTCCCACAGAGGCACAGGACGGTGAGATAAAGAAACAGATGGAGGGGCTGGGGCAGCAGGAGAGGGAGTTTTTTGTTTTTTGCACATGTCTGGTCAGAGTAGAGCATCAGAATTCTTTCCAATGAATTAGGATCAATGGTTTATAATATACAGCTAAATACATGAAAAAAGTCAACAAAAAACAGTTCAACTGAACACTGTATTTTGTCCTTGGTACTTGATAAATCTTTACTAACTGCGAATAGAAACAGAAAACTGATTATTCAAAATGCAAAGGAGAAATTCATCATATCTCAATAGCCTATATCAAACTTGTCATTCCGTTAATCACTCGTGATGAGCAGTCCTTTGTGGGCTGTTTTGTTTCACCACATCTTGTCACAGCTTGAGTGGTTGCATCAACTTGTGTCTTTAAAAGAAACCAGGCTAGATCCAATATACTTAAGTATACATAAGTAATGCCAAACTATAGATAGCATGGTATTTACGCTTTCAACTCAAGGTAATATGCTGAAGGAGACCACATTTTCTTTTCATGAATACTTAAAAGTACAGATACTGATACTTAGAGCTTAACAAAGGAGAGCAGAGTGGCTCTGTGGTTGAGCGGAGAGGTAAAGACAATTATTACTTATTAACAAGGGTGTGTCGGTAAGACCAGACATTTTTTTTATTTCTTTTACTCCCTGCTGTGAGCAAATGTTGTGAGTCAGTGTGTGAATTTTTTAGTGTCTGTATTTCCAAACTATATATTTTTTTAATATTTGCTTTATTGGCCTGACATGTAAATGTGTTTATGTTGCCAAAGCATACAGAGAAAGACTATAATGGATAAAAAAGAATAAGAAGTAAAGTACTTTTATAAGATTAGATTTCTGAATGGTGAATGGTAAGAAACTCACTCACTGTGTCTGTGTCTTTTTCTCTGCAGACTGCTGTGTTCACTGTATTCTGGCCTGCCTCTTCTGTGAGTTCTTAACTCTGTGTAACATCGTGCTGGACTGTGCCACCTGCGGCTCCTGTGCAGGGGACGACTCGTGTTTCTGCTGCTGCTGTGCGTCGGAGGAGTGTGGCGACTGTGACCTGCCCTGTGACATGGACTGTGGCATCATCGACGCCTGCTGTGAGTCTGCAGACTGCCTGGAGATCTGTATGGAGTGCTGCAGCCTTTGCTTCTCCTCCTGAGGCCCCTATCCACCACCACAGGGGGCAAAGTAGTTGTCTGCTACACACTCCCACAAGCCCAGGACCAACTTCGACCAGTGTCTTATCAGAGCTGAGAGACGCTACACCCAGTCCTTGTTGCCTGGGCTCGTTGGTTTACACTATATTGGCTGGTCTAGTTGGCTCCACAATATGTCCAATGTTTCTTACAGGGTTTGTCAAGCAAAAGATGTGACCTAATGCTGAGAGCAGTCACTGGTGAATTCTTCCTTCCTTTATTGATCAAACGATTGGACAGTAGCATCCCCTGCCTTGTCTTTGCTGTTGGTCCATTGCTACACAGCTGGGTATATGGTGCAGAGTGAGTTCCAGCTGTGGTCCACGAGTGTCTGCCAGCCTGTGCAGACCGGGCCTCTGGACACTCACAGAACAAGCTATTATTACAATGGAGCCCCTTGTGCTGTCTGAATGACTGGAGTTCTCCAAGCATGAAAAATGACCTCCAAAGGCAAATGAGAAAATGGCTCCATTTAACCGGATTTTAGTGTTTCTGTAGATAAGAGCAGCAGCATAATGGGAAAATGGACGCTCAGATCTCAGTAGAAATGTAGTCTGTCCTCCTGTCCTAGGCAAGGTTAAAGTCTTCCAGTTTGATTGCATAGAGTGGCCTTTGCGATACACACACACACACACACACACACACACACACACACACCCTAAGTGGAGGATGTTGAATCCACTGCTGTCTTTGTCCTTGTTACAATGTATAAGATAGAGAAAACATTAATGGTGGCTTGTGGCAATATTACATACAAATTTCTTTTGTTTATATGCATCTCACTTAAAGGTCCAGTGTGTAGGATTTAGAAGCATCCAGTGGTATAGTTGCTGATTGCAACTCCCTCACTCTCCCCCCCTCTAAGCCCAAATGAGGTGGTTTGTCCGTTCTGGAAACACAACAATTCTTCTTTCAGGTAATTGTACACTAATGAAAACATACCTATATTATAGGTATGTATATATATTCCATTTCTGCCGATAGATCCTCCTAAATGTTACACCCTGGACCTTTAACAGACCTATTCAGAGAACCATGAGAGCGTTATGCATCAGCCTGAAGATGGGTCCCATTAAATGAGTATATTGTACATGATGGACATCGCAGAGCGAATGGTTGATAGCATCTGTCATGGACACATTCTCTACTGTAACATGTGAAGGGAGAGAGTTCTTAATCAAAAGCCTCTCCTCATTTAATGTTCTACATCATGTTTACTTTTACATGTTTACTTTGAGGGGCTTTGGCTGTATTCATTGAATTCTTCCTCATCTGAATGGTCAGAACTGGTAAAGGACTTGTAGAGGATTGGAAGGCTCTTTTAAAAAAAAAGTAAATTTTCTTTTTCTTTGTTGTTCTTGCTATGTGAACAAATGGCCTTGGCTTAGCTTAAGGCCTGAATTTTCAAGTAATTCCTCGCCTTTACCAAATCTCTATTAATCCTTATTTTGTAGATTTTAGTTAAGATATTTGCATTTCTCCTCCAATGTGAAAATCAAATTTCTGTGTTATCGGGTTTGCCGGGCTCTCTGTAAAGCAGACATTGCTCAACATCTAATTTAATTCATTGAATGAAAATCTCACGACATTATGCTAAGTTAGATCCATATGCTCGTAGTATGAATGGTACGCTTTTGATAACAGGCCCGCACTCTCATATTCATACCTTCTCCAACCCAATACCTCTTGAGATGTCACCTAGATCTGTTGTGCATTTTAAAATGACTTGGCACAAATCTTTCTCCTCTCTGATCAAATACTGTTTGTGCAATCCTTTTTTCTTGGAAATACCAAAGAGTTTTCCTCTTACTGGACCTTAGTCTCTAGACCTATAATTGCTTGTACATTAAAGGGTTTGTGCTAAGCTAATGTGGCGGTGGTTGATTAAACCCTATTTTAAGGGCTAATATATAACACTGTTGATTAAGAATTTACACTAAGGCTGTAAATCAACCTGATAACAAGCAAAACATTTCTGGGAATCAACTAATGCAACTTGGGAAGACATTATGACTCTCCTTATGTAAATGTGTTTCAAATTTTGGGACATGTTCAAACTCAAATGAAACAAAATCCTGGAGAGCCCTGGAAAACAATGCAATTCTTTACAGTACAGAGAGATTTATGAAGGGAGAACTGGATTATATAATATTATGTATAGAAGTGAAAACAATGTAATTTGTATGGATTTACAATATTTTCCAAGTGCAGATTCTAGTGCTGGTGCTTCATCTAGGGAGATTTTCTCTGTCACCTGACAAACCTTGCAACAAAAAGAATAGGAGTGCTTTGTGAGAAATATCTGGGGTTTGTGCAAGGATAACCCATGTGGGTTTAAACCAAAAAAAAAAAAAAACTCCTTCCTTATCAACACTGGGTATCAACAAAAGGTCAAGCATTACAAATAATAAAAACAGTTTTGAACCACTGGAATATAATAAATACTCAATGAGCCTACAGATGTTAGTTAGCAACAAACTAATGTTAGCATAAAAGGTCTCCACTGTTGGCAGTGGCAAGGCTACTCTGCCGACAGAGTTAAAATAAACAGTTCACCTTGCTTTCATGCAAACTGTTTTGTTAAGGCAAGCAGGAATATGAATACATATTATCATATGTTTCCTACTGGCTCATTTTACTGCTAAAACAATAGGTTCACTGTTTTAACCCAACCCAATTGACATGTTGTTTCCTATCATTTATGGCTGTGCATAACCACAACCTCACTAACTCCAGCTCAAGTTTCAGGCAGTCGTTTAGGCCTTCAAAACCAGGATAAATCCAGTTTTCATAAATGGTAAGCTCACAGACAGGCTTATCCGTGGTCTCAAACCTTGCTCTCTGTTATGTTGAATCTATTTTATTTTGATCAAATTCCAGCACAGATGTAACTGGAGAAATAAAATCAACAAACACCTACCTGTGACAGACAGCATGGTTTTGAAACTTTCTCTTTAGGAGTAGATCATATAAACACGTCTGGTTTCCAAAAGTAGCTTCACCTGGGTTTTTAAAGAGATACAAAATTCTCCTGATGGGACTGTAGAAGTGCAGAGTGGTAAGCCAGTCAATACTACAGCTATTTTAATAAGGGGTTAGTTGAAAAACAGTGAATGAATCATTTAAGTTTAATTTAATGATGTTGGAATTATTTTTTATGACGTACTCATTAAATACTACTTAATGTCTATACTGAGGAGTGCTTTACAATTCGTGAGGAATGGAGGCAGTCTGGAGGGACAGAAAAATCTAATTGGTTGGTCTGGACATAGAAAGTCCCCAGATGAACACCGGTCTTGCATTTAAACCATTCTTTGGATTTTAGAAATGATTTGATGTTGTGTCTGTACCAGACAGGTCATTGTCTCATTTCCATATATTTCCCTCAAGCTATTTCAGTAATACTGGAAGAAAAAAACAAGTTTACTTTCAATGTCTCAGTATTATTTTTTGTGAGAATTACTTTGACCACAGAAATGTCTAACTGTTGACTTTCATGGATTTTTTTTATCTTATAATGAGATGGAATTTGGATATTGATTTAAAGGGCTGGTCACCTCTGCTAGCACTCTGAAAGTTATCCTAGCCCAGCTGAATTGTTACTAGACTGTTAGTCCACTATAATGTCATTTTGTTTACACTACCCCCATTATTGTCAATTTGAATTGCTGTCCTGGAAGTCACATTAAAATCTCTTTGTTTAATACTGAATAAACAATGTGAACTCCAGGCTACATGTATCATTATTTCTTTATTTTCACATAGGTGCCAGGCTAACTACGTTAGATTCTTATTTCATTATGGCTACATAAATACTGTTGTTGTACTGTAGTCTAGCAAAAGATGTTGCAAATTGAATCTAACAAAGAATTGTTTATTTATCACCTGCGCAGTGTTTCATTACCAAAATGTAATATGCAGCTTAAACTATATTTAAATATTTGACCTTCCCACATGCACTGCTGTACTTATAACTATTTAGAGTTTCTGTAAGACAAAATGTCCCCACTAAAAGAAAGAAAATAATGCGCTGTATCTGATAATAATCGCAACTCATCACTTTTTTCTCATCTGTGTTTTCTCTGTGCAAAAATGTAACTGTACTTACCAATGTTGAGCTGGAGAGATCAGTTATCATGGCTGCTCTCTACTTGTCCTTCCTGTACTCCCAACATGACAACCGCTTTGCAGTTGATTTAGTTTGGATAAAATTTCTTTAACTATAGAAGTGTCTCGCTCCACTTCAATGCGTACATAGATTCCTTTTTCAGTTCACAGACAGTGAAGCAAGCAAACTCTATCCAGCACTAGTCTTTCTAGAAATGTCATTTTGTCAAATATTATAAAATTGTAATATTATATATATTGAGAGAGCATGATAAGTAGTTAGCAAGTGAGCAGTGAAGCTTGAATAGTTAAAAATAATGGATGATGGTTTAAATAGTTTGCTAAAAGTAACAGCTACAGTAAACGTACATGGTTGAAAAAGTTTATCTACCACTGGTTCCCCTTGAACCATTGATAAAAAACAAACTAAACAACATAGAATTAGGATGAAATGTTGCGGAAGCAGCCATTAGTGTTTATGTCCAACATGTGCAGTGCTTAATAAAGTTACTGGTAGAAACAACTCTATAGCCTATTAGGGTAATTTTCGGTAATGTTGTTGCTTGTTTCTCCTTGCTGTGTTTTATTATTTGTCCGTTAATATATTGTCACAATCATCTTTTAGCATCTGCAGATTTTCCCATAACCCCACTTGATTAGCTGTCTCTGAGCTGAGAGGAGCAGAGAGAAAACTGGAGGAGGGGGGGGGGAGAAAACAGAGCAACAACTGGGCTCATGCAGAACAGAGCCCTTTAATGTGTTTTTTTAAAGGCTTGCCAAAGTCGTTCAGTAGGAATGTGTGTTCAGGCCAATACATCAATGTGTGCAGAAATGCAGGGGACTTTTACTGTTTGAGATTTTCTTCTTCAGCTTTAATCCTTCTCCCTTTTCATTCTCTTTCTTCATTGTATTTTGAAAGTGGCTTATGAACACAGTTTCTCTCTTTAGTATTTTTGTGTGTGCACTGTCCACTGGGTGTTAAATGTTGGCTAGAGTTAACTAATAACAGGGTCATAATTTGGCCCTGAGGCAAGTGCCTGTAAAGAGGTCAGCTACACTCTAAAAAATAAAAC